CCCTCCCCCCCTCTATTATCCCTCACAAACAGATCCGTCCAAAAGTATATGCTCACATGCACAAGACAGTCTCATACGTATCCGTAATACCCAACCTACAAGAAAGATCACCAAGAATAAACGCCTTTATCAAGAATGCCACCATAAATATTTCTCTCCCAAACCCTTTTTTTATTTTCAATTCCTCTCCGATACTTTTTTCCTCCATGTTCATCCTTGATAGATCACCATCCATGTATTAGTAAGAAATCCATTTACATACACTTGGTCCCACTAGAATTTTTACGGCAGATGATCTAACAAGGAGGAAAAATGTATTGGATGTAACCTCGCTTCTGTGTTTACTTACCCTTGAATGGAAAGAAAGAGATACTTCAAGCCATTCTCCCACCCTACATGATAAAACCTATCCCTGACTTTACAGCCAATTAGAACCAGCATTACAAAGCAGCATAATATATGGGGTAATTACCAGGATCATACTGAAGGGCAGAAAAAAATAGGGGCAAAGAAAGATAAAGTAAGTCCATTAAATAAAGTAACGTGTACCAGGATAGTTACCCTACTGTCTACCCAGCAGACAAACCCTAAAGCATCCATGGATAACAGCAATCCAGTAAATCTGGTGATCTTTCAATGTAAACTAAGACATGAAGGTGCCCAGATATATATGAGTATCACAACTAAGATAATCCCTGTCAGAATCTTAAAAGTTCAGAGCGCTAAAAAGAGACCTCCCTTGCTAGCACATTTTGTCATTTACATTGGCTCATGAAGAACAAGTCAAGATATCAGAGGCACAAGACCAACAAACATGGTACCCCAATGAAAAAAGACTATCAGAAATGAAATGCATATCTTTCATTAGGCTTTCCAGAACGACCAGATACTTTTCTCACACAATACAGGCACGAGTTGGTCAATAGCCGATCTCTGAATAAATTAATAGGAGGGATAGCTGGTTGGGTTACTTGTATCATAGTGGTCCAACCTAGAGCGACTAGTACTATCCATTGTTGCCCCAAATACTCTTCGACCATAGTCATAATTGGTGTGGTCATAGTCTGATCTATGTCCATTAGTGTGGGGTAATACACCAGGGGGAACTGGCACATGAAAAACTGATGTTAAGCACACTACAAGAGGGACAAAACATGGAAAAATTCTGATTACAATTGAGCATAAATGGACAATTATTAACTTCATCAAAACAAACACATCACCTTGGGCATGTATTTGGTGGGCTGAAAACCTGCACGGCGTCGATAACCTTGCTGAATGTGGAGAGGTTTCTCCATTGATATAGGGTACAGGATGGGGCCTCGGTTTGAGAGAAGAATTTAATGGGGGCGGCATTGCCATGAGCAAATTTGTTGAGGGCTTGTCTTGTCCAGAAATCTGTGTTCAGAGTTCACACATCATTTTATATCCTCAGAGGAATAACACAAAGCCAGGGCTCAATGAACATGGAACCCCACAATTGTTCCTCAACAAAAGTTCAGACTGCCAGCCAGTGACCAAGCACTGATCGTAACCACAATAAACAAATATCTGTCATTTCCTCAGCCAGTTAGATTCAATGAAATCATCACCAAGCTCTTCTTTATAGAAACAACAGAATCATCACATTCCATGGTCCCACCCAATAACTAGAAATAGGCTGGCAACTGTTGACGATTGTTGAGAAGCTGAACCCAGGGGGTTGAAATAATAAAAAAGTCTACATGTAACATGCATATGACAACCAATCCTACAAAACTAAGGCTAATCAAAACTACCATAGTCCTACTTCTAGCTAACATAACACTCCATATGACTATGGGATTCAACACCACCAAGTACTTAATCTAGTTCCAAAAATGAAAAACAATGACATACCGCAAATTTCAGTGTTCGTTTATAAATAGTCAGAAGGCCTGAGAAAAGCCTGACAGCATAGTCTGCAATCTCTTCAGTCTCATATTCTGCAAAGGCATAACCTTTTGGTCTATTGGTTTCCTTATCTCGGGGAATATGCAAGTCCACAACACGCCCTGCTTGTATGAGAATATCATATAACACCCTATCATTCACTCTCTCGTCCACATTACCTATATAAAAAGAATACCATACACAAGGTAAGAAAATTTATAAATGCAATGAATAAGAGATACAACTCTACACGAGAACAATCACTCAGAAGCTGGACCAGTAAGATAAAATGCGGGTGCACAGTGTTTATNTATGTTAATTTATAAATGCAATGAATAAGAGATACAACTCTACACGAGAACAATCACTCAGAAGCTGGACCAGTAAGATAAAATGCGGGTGCACAGTGTTTATTGTGGCTGAATTAGAGTAAGTATCATAACAATGTGCTACTAACAAGTTCATCAATGATAGTAAATTCTTCACATAAAAAAAAAGAGGTGTGATATAACAATCACAAAACAAAAGTCATCCATTGTCCATCACACACAAAAGAAAAAAAATTGATTGTTTGACTGATTAGTTACAGTTGTAATGAAACAATAATTATTATTGGTAATATTGACATAAATCTAGAAATATGTGTTCATGGACATGCACAAATGTAAATCCAACGATCTAGTATAAGCAAATCGATCCGAGTCTATTGTAGAATCCCAAATTCGTAGGATATTCGTAAAACCCGGGTAAATTTGAACTTTTTATGAAAAATGATAAAATGGTAATTTGTCACTATAGTACGGGTTGTAAACTTGAAATTTTTAGAACTCGGATGACAAAACAGACCTCACCGTTAGATTCATCTTGCAAAATCTAGTTACCACGTCAAATTTCATCAAATTCCGAGATAGGTAATTTTTTCATGTTTTACGAGGCGGTCGAATCTCGGATAATCCAAAAACGGGATTTTGATAAAAAATTTCGAAAGTTGAAAAATAATTTAAAGAAAATTAAAATAAAAATATTTTGAACTTAAATCGGGACGAAATTTAATCATTTTGGGGCTAAAACAGACCCGGGAAAATAGGGTCATGTGACTCGTTGTGGACCAAGCATTGGGAGGCTATAAATAGGGAAAGAAAATCAGATTTCCTCCCCTATCCATCGGCCAGTTCCAATGTGAGAGAAAGAGAGAAAGAGAGCAAAGAGAGAGTTTCTCCGCCTTCTCTCTACGATCTACAAAGCTACAGTGCTCAAATCTACTCGGGGCAAGAACAAAAGTCGGTCTCCTCGTCAAGAGCTACACGACCACACCAAAAACGAAGGATTTCACCGAAGTTTCAAAACCAAGCTTAGTTGAATCAAGAGCTTGGGACAAAAATTTGAGTCTTGAGGGCTTCTACCAAGTAGGTTTACCCTTCAAGAGGTAGGGTTCCTTCCTACTTAGGTTTATTTAACAACTTAGGGTGTAGTATGTAATGGGTATGTTGATAGAAAGATTATATTATTACCTATGTTGTGGAAATTGATGAAATTGGTATAAAAATTGGGTAGAATGAATTTTACCTTGAATTGAGTTGTGAATTAACTCAATGTGATCCATGGAAATGGGTGCTATGTGAGCATGTTAAGTGTTTAAATTATGCCTTGGTGGATGAAGTGTGTTATTGACATATATTATGTGATAACATGCTTATGAATGATTGTTGGATATGAAAATGTTGATGTATGCTCATAGATGTATCGACATTGTGATGAAATTGGTAATTTTATATTATGAGATATAAATTGTCATGGAATATATGTAAATGTGGTTAAATTTTGCTCATGTGACATTCTTTACATATGGGCATAACATTGAAATAACAATGATGCATTACATTGCATTTGCACTGGAAAAACACATTCATAGCCATGAGTGTGGGTGTGTGTGCATGGTTAACATCAAACACCAAATAGGTGAATGATGGTGGGCTCGGGATAGTTGGATCGAATTTCCGACTAAGTCGCACGGTGTTATGAATAATGAATTGGGTCGAAATAGCAAGAAGGGCTAGACTATCCCTCGGGTGAGAAACCCGGTGATCGGATACGCACTCTGTTGGTATAAAAACTCATAAAGTGTGTCGGTGTACACAGAACCGTTGGTGAAAGTCTATAAATTCCGTGTCGGTTGGGTGTCGTTAGTGTAAATCCATAAATACCCACCCCAAAGAAAGACCCGGAGAGTTTTAAATTAGTCGTTGGGTGTACAACGCCAATGGCGGAGCTTGAAAAGCCGATTTTTGTACTCATGACATAAATGGGAAAAAAGGAGCCGGGGAGGGCTCAGGTTGAGTTGCATTAGTGAGTCTCATCACATTTCATGGCATGATATGCAAAGATTTTAACATTGAATAATATATTGTGATTGAGATGTTATTGGTGGTAAAATGTTGCATGAACATTCATATACACTTAAGTTGGAGAATTAGCCTCAGTAAAAAATACTCTATTGGGCGTGACTCGCCCTATATGGAAACACATTTCAGATGCGGGATTTGTACCGGCGGGAGACTCATTCAGGACCTCCAAGATGAAGAAAAGGTTAATTTGTGGCCTTTGACCGTGAATTTTGTAAACTTTTGAGAAAAACATATTTTGGCATGTAAATATATGAAATCGTCGTAATAGAACTTGTATGTATCAAGTCATATGTGGAAAACTATATTTTACATGTTTTGCATGTTTGTGAGAAGGTTTGGAATGAATTGAAAATGAAAAATAGGTGAAACAGATAATTCTGGGTAAAACCTTCCGGAAGGTTTGGACAAAGACAAGAAAAAATTGTTGAACAGTGAGTGAAACCTTCAAGAAGATCGATTCTAACCTTCCGAAAGGTCTTCACATTTTTCTAAAATGAGGAAATCTAGTGTGTAACTTCTTCCGGAAGGTTGAACACACCTTCCGGAAGGTCGACACATCTTTCTTAAAGATGGGATTCCAGAAGGTCAACCTTTTGGAAGTTTTATAAAAACCTATCGGAAGGTTCTCACAAAACTTCAAATTTTTGAATTTTTTCCCTCAGTTCTTGGGCAATCTTTCCTCTTGTTCAAGGGTGTCCTATGGGATAAAATGGCTATAAATTAATGTGTAAAGAACCACGGTTTTGTGGGTATAGTCTCGGGTAAGGGGTTAGCTTCGACATGATGTCAGATGGTACGACAATTACGGGTACTTTCGCGGGTTGACAAGTGGTCAACGGTCGATAAAAGGACTCCCGGTTTTTGGGGCATCACAATATTAATNTTTGTGGGTATAGTCCCGGGTAAGGGGTTAGCTTCGACATGATGTCAGATGGTACGACAATTACGGGTACTTTCGCGGGTTGACAAGTGGTCAACGGTCGATAAAAGGACTCCCGGTTTTTGGGGCATCACAATATTAATGGATCCCAACCCGGATCTTATATGATTCCAATCCGAATTGCAATTTTATTGATCCAAGTTTTTGACTTTGTTTATTAGATGCATTTAATTATCGAACAATTCAATCCATATTTTTCTTTTTAATAAATAAGGCAGTGATCCAAATGTGAATGTTTTATATAATTGTGAGTCTATTGGAGAATTTCAATAGATGAGAAAAGCTACATAAGTTTGTTTTGTTTACATAAAGGTATATCTATTTGTTCTTCTCTCGTTGAAAAACTGAAATCAAAAGTTAGATTTGATTTTCTCACTCGACTAATGATCATATCCAAAGAGTCTTCCAACTTTATTCTTTTTAGCTTTTTGTGATTGGATGTCGAATAGTCAATGTTATTATTCAACAATCTTTCAACTTTTCAATCTCTTCTATGTATCTCTTTCTCGGAAAGTTAAGATAAAAATACATCAATTATTTTTATTACTCTTTGTAAAATCCTACAAGATTAACGTCCATCTTTGATTTTAAACCCTTTCAATACCCAAAATGTAGTTTATCAAAATTCAATCGTATCTTAAGTTCTATGTTTGTCATAATATTTCTATTTTCATATATACTAGGTTTGTTTAGAGCTTTTGAGAATTTTGTATTACTACATATGTTTGTCATCTCATTTTCTCAGTTGATAGGATCTCACGATTCTCGATCCGATTCCAGGATTCTGATCCTATAGCCTCCCCAATCGATTCAAGATAGAATCCCAATTTTAAAATCTTTGATAATAATACATATAGTTTAGCAAAAAACTGTTAATTTCAAGGACAAAGGAAATCAAGAGATCCATTAGAGAACCAATAACTATACGTAGAAAATTAAAATAGCCATGTGTACTTACAATTACCAATGTAACTGATTAACAACAACTATGAACAAGCAAAGCACCCAAAGCATCAGGCAATCACTATCGCCCAACAAAGACAGCTTATTAAAGAACAGGTTAAATTTCATATGAATACCCGCTTTACTTTTCAAAAATAATATGTAAACCCCTTGACATTTACAAGTTGTAAGAGGCAACCCCTCCACTTGAGAGATTTGACTAAACGATGATGTACAAAAAAAAAAAACCAAGAATGGTTTGTCGTAGTAAGACTGGGATTTTTAAGACAATATTACCCCCAACCCCAAAATAATATTGAAACAGCATCCCCTAAATATAAATTATTAGATTTTGACTTTAAAAAATAAATTATTCAATTATATCAAACTAATTACAACTTTGATACTAATTGTAATTGCATACTAATTTTCAAATCAACTACATTTTGAGATCAATCATGGCTTTTTTCGATAAGTGTGATCAATTATGCTACAGCTATTAATTTCATGATAATCTACCAGAAATGAGTAACCAATTACATAGTTATGGATTTAACCACAGCACAGCACAGCACAACAGCGCCACACACAACATCACCACACACAAACCTACCAAAATCCATCATCTAACTTTTTTTTTACCAAACCTTTTATCACCTATGTGGTGATTTGCATTTTGGGATTCATTCTCCATGGAAAACATATATCACATTTGTAAATGCAACATACAGGTTTCACCTCAATTAATGCCGCCTAATCCATCACCTATCACCATTACCCTCCAACCCCACTCTACCTCCACGCCACTGCCCTCCAACCCCACCCTACCCCCACACCACAACCCTTCATCAATGACAATCTAAAACTAAAAAACTTGAAAACCCAAACAATATTCACCACAGCGGCAAAATGGTGAAACCAATCACCAAAATTTTATCAACACAGAATATCTACTCAAAAATGTAAATGTATCACAACCTCAAATCCCAACGTTCACTCCCACCCAAAACAATCCCTCTCTTCATCAGCATATCTATGTTCTCCACCACCACCACTGCTGCATTCATCTGTGTCACCACCCTAAAAAATCTACTTCACAAACCTACCATCTTTGATAGATAATCCTCCATTATATTCATAAATCCACCACAACTTAAATCAACCCACATATATTCGGCCAATAGTTCAATTACCACCCTAAAGTCCAAACTCATCACCCTCTAAGGACCCATCACCGATGCACTGCCCAATGGCACTCTCATTGCAATCCCTAATTAAAGGAGAGAATAGGATGAAGACTCACATCCCAAGGCTAGGCTTGGAGCTGGAGTTTTTACGATCGTGACACTTTTCATGAGCAAATTTCCATTAACATCACTAGCACCAATTATGACGACAATGGAGGTGGGAGGAGGCAGGGGGTGGCCTAGAGGACTATGCATAGGTGGGGTGGGAGAGGGAGTGTTGCATGGTGGTTAGTGGTGTGGAATCTAAAGAGAGATATAAGTGTACATATAAGAGAGAGTGAGAGAGAGACGAGCACGAGTTTGAGTTTGGGTTTGGGTGTGAGAATGGGCTTCGATTGAGGTTTGAGCATAGGTTTAGATTTATTTTTGTTTATCCAATTTGAACCTATCAAATAAACTCTAAAAAACACTTCTTGCTGAAAAAATTAACGTTGTCCAACGCTTAAGGCCTTGCAATGATTTTTCAAATATCAACAAGTGTTCTAACAATTAAGTATTTAATGGTGATTTCATCTATAAACAACAGTCATTTATGTAACTAATGATGTTATCAAGTAACAATTACCATTCACCTAAATCTCCATAACCACAACCTAGAAAACATGGATACTTCCACGGGAGTGCCGTAGCAGTATCGGACACGTGTCCGACACAGATACGGCCAGGACACGGCCGAACACGTGTCCGACACGGCTAGAAGTGTCCTGAATAGTGAACTCAGTCGGACATGGCCAAAATACGTCTAAGACATGGCCAGGATACGTCTAGGATATGGTCAAGACACGGCCAAGAATTTTTTTATTAAAAAAAAACTTTTTAACTATTAAAAATTTATTTTTTTAATATATTTTTTGTTGCGTAACTTATGTAATATGAATGTTAATAGATGCAATGATGTTTGATGAAAATATTGGATATTTAATTTGATCTATTTCAATTTTAATTACAAAAATAATATTTGCTAGGTCTTATTATTAATATTGTTATAATATATAATTTATTTTAAATATATTACAACTTTATTATTATTTAAAAAATATATTATATTATTTTAATAACTGTATCCTTATTTTACCCGTGTCCCATATTTTTTAACTTTGTCGTATCCCCGTGTCTTCTGTATCATATCGAATACGACACCCGTGTCTGTATCCATACTTCATAGACCACAACTTATCATCAACTCACTAAAATCAAATAGGCCACATACTCCAAGTAGGATTTAACAAACTTAACAGTCTTTCGCTAATTGATGTGTCTCTTTAGCCAAGTCATTCCATGCTGACTAAAACGATCTAATGTGAGCATGCACTATTTAAAAATAATACCACTCAACTGAGCAATGTCTTTATCTCAACTACTCAACTGAGCAATTTTGACCTACCACTACTTCTCACATTACAATCAATATGAATCAAATTAGTTTTCCTCACTAGTGCAATATTGGGTCTACTACAAATATGACCAAACCACCTAAGTTAATTCGCTCTGAATTTATCTCCTATTGATGCTATTTTTGCAATTTCACGAATATAATTACTTTTGATTCTTTCTTTTTTATTTCTATCATATACATATATGTTAACATTCTCATTTCTGCTACATTAAGTTTTTGAGTATGTTATTTCTTAATTGCATAACATTATGTACGATAATATCATCAGTCTAATAACTGTCTTCCAAAACTTACCATTCACCTTAAGAAGGATACGTCGATCACAAAATATACCAGATGCATTTCTCCACTTTGTTCATCGTGCTTTAATTTTATGATTAACATCCTCTTCAATCTCACCTTCCCTAAGGATAACTGACCCCAAATAAAGTGTTTACTTTTTCATAACTTTTGATCTTCAATTTTACTACCTCCTTATTTGTAGTTCTGCCATTAGTAAAGTTGCATTCTATATTCAATTTTCTTTCTAGCTATCCTAAACCTTTTTGATTCTAAAGCTTCTCAATTCTTATTAATTCCAACTTTGGTTTCATCAATAAATATATAATATACACAATGGAACCTCAATCTAGATGTGTCTATTTTATTCATTTATTATCAACGTGAAAAGATACCGGCTTCAAGGCGAAACTCTAATGTAAGCCTACACTGATTAAGTACACTACTTCCCCTTGCATTTGTTCTCAAAAAAGTCACCGCAACCTCCTACATATCCTTAATCATATCTATATACCTATCTGTAATTCCCTTTTATTTAAACCCACCATCTAATATCCCTCGAGACTGCTTTCGTATGTGTTCTCTCAGTCTATAGGTTTATATGTTTTCTTAATCATCTTTAATCTTCTAAGTATATAGCTTTCACTGTTGACGTATAAATCCAAATTGATTCCCATACAATTGTTTCTAGTCTTAATCGTTGTTCGATCACCCTCTCCCAAAGTTCTATTGTATGACATATCCATATACCTATCTGTAATTCCCTTTTTCTTTAAACCCACAATCTAATATCCCTCGAGACTACATTCGTATGCATCCTCTCAGTCTATAGGTTTATATGTTTTCTTAATCATCTTTAATCTTCTAAGTATATAGCTTTCACTATTGACGTATATCTCCCAAAGTTCTTTTGTATGACTTTTTAATTTAATACCTCGATAATTTGTACAACTTTGAATATCCTCTTTGTTTTCATAAATGTATCTATGTTATTATAACAAACAAATTCGATGGAAGGGACAACCTTCAGAAGGAAGAAGCTGTCGGATAGAATATTAGCCACCCAAACAGAATGTTTCATAAGATATCTAAAACCCATGGAGTCCAAATGGACACATTATCATCAACTACTCTGCAAAAAAGATTTAACATGGCGGTCCTATTCTAGCCCTCAATAGTTCTTAAATCCAATCCAACTTCATCCTTCGGTCTACATTAGACCAGTTAAATATATGGATCTTATACGTAGGTTCTGGGCCTAACCAAAAGAAATCTCAAATGCTCAATGAAATGGATTTCAAAGGAGGGGATTAAGTGCTAAAAAAATTGACTCTGTATTGTTTCTAATTTGTATGTCGTTATCTCTGCGAAAAGATCAAATACCAAATTCGTCGTTTTCTATTCTAGTATTCAAGCAGATTTGAATATGTGATATCATAATAATGGTAGGAATTGAATAACTTTTATTTTTGTTAGGAAATTGATTGTAATTAGCCAATTTTGTGAAGCCTTGATGTAAAACTCAACCTAATTCCATGATCAAGATGCTTCAAAGATCAAGCTCTAAAAGCAACATGGAAGGACGGAGTTCAAGCTATAAAAAGACCGGTCAAGAAGATCTCCAATGCACCTTCGATGATTAGGACAAAGGTACCTAGAGACCTAAGGACCCTTTATTTATTTATCGACTTTGGATGATTAGGTTAAATCGAATTTGAATTAGGAATATCCCTGAATGACTATTAGCTTTTTTATGAAAAAGATTTTCTAAACCTTAAATGTGTTTTGAAACATAGATCAAGTCATGCATCGGACCCTATCTGAGCAACACCCTTTAGTACTCAATAAGATAAGTTTTTGTTGGGTTTCTAGCTTAAAAACCATTAGGGACCGCCCTTTGCTTGCTTGTCTTTGATTAGAATAGTCTCTGAACACTTAATGATAAAATCGAGAAAGACTGATGAATTAAGTAGTAAAGGTTGCTCTCAGGTTGATCAAGTGGTCCTGAGACGGCTCGAGCGATCCCTATGTGCCAAACCTAATTTGAACACTTTTCGTTTCAAGTGACCACTGCCCTTTAACCGCTCTTTGACAACTCGAGCAGTGATTCGCAAATTTGTATTTATTTGGTCCTCAAGACAAACCATATTCCAAACCTATATAAAGGGTAAACCTTCCTATACTAGGGGATCTCTATTGTAAGTAGAAATTCTACGTCTTAAACCTTTAGAGAGCTTAGAACAACCCTAGATCTAACTTCAACTTCCCATTGAAGACGAAGATCTAGCTTGAATTTAATCAGAGCCCAATTTGGAATAGTGTGTCCCAAGGATCATAGGAGAGAACGCTTCAAGAACCTAAACGGTTCATCGCAGTGGATGTGTTCAAGTGAAATTGCTCATAACTTCGATGGTGATATCTGAAGGAGAGATTTGCAAAGAAAAGAAGCATCTAACTATAGTATAGGTTGAGGTATAAGAGTCGAGTACCAATAAATTGATTTTTGGGTAATGAATTAAGCTAGGTGAATTGGATAGCGATTTAACGGTTTTTTCCCAATTGGATTTTCGCAGCAACAAATTGCTTATGGTGTGGATCATGGTTACTAGAATTCACTAAACCCATGACGACCCACAATCTAGGTACATTGATCCCAAACAAGGTGGGTTCGCCATCCAGTCACTAAAATGTACGACCCCAAACTATAACACTAACCTCAAATCAATTCGCATTCGAATATGAATATAAAATACATATTGACTACATATATATAGATTTATAATTATATATTGTTTTAAATAAAAGAAAATGAAGCACAAATGTAAGATAAATAGTAACTGACGTAGTGTTTATAGATATTCTGTAACATATAATGTTGTATAGTAGTGAAAACAATCTAGAT